ATAGACTGGTGACCTGTCCAGGTGAACCTGCCTTCACCCTGAGTCAGCTGGGATAGACTCCAGCCCCCCATGACCCTAGTGAGGATTAAGATGTACAGATAATGGATGGATGGATGGATGGATGGATGGATGGATGGATGGATGGATGGATGATTAAAATGTATTTGTGATGTGTTGCAAACATGCAGAATGCTGACGAAAGTAGAGAACCCTCAAAATGTCAATGAGAAAGCAGGGTAGTTGTGTAAGAATGTTATTTTAGGGCTCAATTGGCTGAACTTTTATTATCTTCATAGCAAAGTTAAACTGAGCTATTACATTTCAAGCCAGTAGTTTAACTCTTTGTGGCAGTATGTTGGACACCATTTATCCAAGAAAAGAATTCAATATCTAAATCTTAAAAAAAAACAAAAAAACATTTAAGAGTGAGGACTCCTGAAGTGGCAACTCTGAAAGAACAGTTTCCAAACAGCCTCTCACAAAGCGACCTGCTTCGGAGATTCAGGAGTGGAAACAGTCACTGTCTGAAAACCGTCTCTACCAATGAAAACTGGAGGTACTCAACATCTGAACAGCTGCACTTTGTAATATGGAATTAGTGCTGTAGTTTAAACATTTAAAGCAGCTGAACTACTACAACAGTCAAAGTGAAAACAAAGCATTAAATGAAGCTGAGATCTGAGTTGAGTGTAATCACTGAAGTGAAGCATGCACTGCTATAGAAACAGTACAATCATGGCAATAAGGAGAGAGAACTTACAAAAAAGTTTAATTTCTTTGATTATTTATCTAACAAAATTTGTCATGTAAAAACTTTTTACACGACTCTGCACATATATACTCTCCAAAGATATTTCACCATGCTGAATGTGTCTCCCAACCACTGGCTGACACCTTGTTCCCTGTGTATACATGTGATCCATACTGCATTTACTTTATTGCTCAAACATGTTTTAATCTCCCCTCAGTCTCTCCTGCTGTGACCTTAGCACTCTGTGTAAACACAGCCTGCATGAATTTTTGACATGTGACTCTTGGTCACAGCTCAGTTGTGCTGAGAAGCATCAAACCTTTTTTGTTTTTGCAGGATCTGGATTTAAATGAGACATCTAGGATAAAGGGATTTTGATTACAATTCTAAATTTTACACTTCAATTTTAGCATCAGAGGTATACTGATATACTGACAGATCTTTGCACAGTTGAATATTTGAAAATTCTTTCCTTTTTACAGTTTTAGGCACTGATAAATGGTTTAATATTCAAACACAACACAAAATGAACACAAATTGAAAAAAGGAAATAGATTCATTTGTCAATAAACTTCTAAAATCAGATAAGCACTTGAATAAAAAAATGCTGTACAGCCTGTGGGTTGGGTGATCATCGGTATGTAGTCTCTGAATCAACAAAGTCACGTCAATAGTTTTTCTTTCACTTTGTAATCACGCAAACCTTATGTTTAGAAACAGCCTTTGTGTGTGATAGCTCAGTTGTATATTTATATTGCTGGCTCCATACACATAAGTATGTAAGAATTTAAAAATCATTTATTCATTCAAATTACTAATTAACTATTAGGACATAGATATGAGGGCCTTGAAGCATTTATTATGTTAAGTACATGTATGCTGTTATAAGATATGTACACAACAACCTGACTTCCCACATACCTGAACTGGACTGTAATTAAAAAAACATTCTTAGAAATCACATGGCCAAGAGGAAAGGATGTTAACATTTCTCACACGGTAGACATCATTTGCAAACAGACATCAGCAGCGCTGCAGCTTCATCAGACACTCTCAGGTACGTTAGCCTTGTAATTCACTATTGTAGTGTATTAATTTGTCCACATGAGACTTTGGTTAAATTCTACTTTCAAATTAATTTTAAAAATCTGATCAAAAACAACTTAGCACACAGTCTGAAAATTAAATTCTTAATTTCAGAATCATCATTTGAGGTGAACCATCACTTCTGTCAACAGGCACAATAGCAGAGGTAAGAATGCTTTTCATTATTTTCTATTGTTAAATGTGGTGGCAGATATTTCTGTCAACAAGAGAAACGTTTTGCATTTTCCAGATTCAGTAACACTTTAGAGCCTTATGTTCCACTAATCATCTAAAATCATTCTAAGCTCTAAAATGTTCAGAAAGTATACACATGCATAATATGAACTTGTATTACTACATTTAAAAAGAAAGGCTCATGGGACTCAATTAATCAAAGTTGTTGGACACTTCTCAGACATATTATCTGGAGACCACATTTACCTCCCTCAGTATTCATGACAGATTTGTAAAAGCATGACTTCTGTGATGTGTTGTACCAGGAAACTGGGAGTGGAACTTTGATACCATTTTAATATATCTGGGAAATGATATGATCATTTTATATAGGTGTTAATTAGTCTAACCTTACAATAGAAATGTTGTAATAAGCTTATATTTTGAGTTGAAAACTTTCTGTTGACTCTGCTGCAAATAGAAATGTGTTTTATAAAGTGTTGTTTACGTGCTGTTAATCCCAGTCTCTGATCTCTGATCTCTGATCTCTGTCTCGTTCATGAACACAGACGTGGACTGTACACTGGATTACTTTCACTTTCTTTGTCTCCCATTTCCAGACCCAGTGCTGTGAACAACACCAGAAAAAACACCACCAGCCAGATATTTGCTGCATTTGACAAACAGCGTCTTGGATTAGAATGGCTTTCATCAAAGGATTATTTGGATACGGAGGTTTATTGTTTTAACAATTCTTAATCACACAACACTTCANATTTAAAAAGAAAGGCTCATGGGACTCAATTAATCAAAGTTATTGGACACTTTAAAGACATATTATCTGGAGACCACATTTACCTCCATCAATATTCATGACAGATTTGTAAAAGCATGACTTCTGTGATGTGTTGTACCAGGAAACTTGGAGTGGAACTTTGATACCATTTTAATATATCTGGGAAATGACATGATCATTTTATGTAGGTGTTAATTAGACTAACCTTACAAATAGAAATGTTGTAATAAGCTTATATTTTGAGTTGAAAACTTTCTGTTGACCCTGCTGCAAATAGAAATGTGTTTTATAAAGTGTTGTTTACGTGCTGTTCATCCCAGTCTCTGATCTCTGATCTCTGTCTCGTTCATGAACACAGACGTGGACAGTACACTGGATTACTTTCACTTTCTTTGTCTCCCATTTCCAGACTCAGTGCTGTGAACAACACCAGAAAAAACACAACCAGCCAGATATTTGCTGCATTTCACATACAGCGTCTTGGATTAGAATGGCTTTCATCAAAGGATTATTTGGATATGGAGGTTTATTGTTTTAACAATTCTTAAATCACACAACATTTCATAGTAATGCTATATTGGTTCTTTGTGCTGCAGTGATGCAGTTTTTCCCCTCCAGTGAATCAGACTTTTTACCTTGTTTAAATGTCCGTATGGTGTTTTTTATATGCTAGAGGACACATTATGAGGAGAATAAACAGTCAACACCATGAATGAAATTACAGTGTACTGATGAAAGATGATAATCTCAAAAACACAGACTCAGACTTTCATAACAAACCGATCTTGTCAACTGGGAGAGTAAAACTCTCATTCATGTTCCTTAACACTGTTTTTTTGGTTCCAACTTGTTTGGCTGAATTACTCCAATATTACAACTTGCCATTGAGTAGAGAGATTTTTAGCATTTGAGCAAAGTTGTTGCTTCACTGGTTTGCTTGAGCTCTCATGACTGAGGACAGGTGAGGACAGAAGGATGCAGGGACTTCACTGATCTGTACGTTTTAGAGGACACATAATTACTATTATATACATTTACAGATATATAAATTGATACAATTCAATTAGTTTTTAGGGCTTTAATCAATGACTGGAGAAGGACTTTAATTGTTTACACTTACAGGGATTAAAAAAACAAACAGATAATGACATTATTTACTTGAAATGTGACTTATACCTAACATGTGTACTTTGCAGCTTTAACAGAACAGTGGAGGAACGTACCATGGGGGTGAGTCTTCAGGGTGTGGTGCTTCTGGTGTTTTCTTTTGTTTTTGTGTATTTTGGGTTTTTTTTTTAACACAAACTTATTTGGTAAAAATCTCATTTCAGTGAGATTCATTCAGTGACACAACGTCATGTTTGTCTGCTTGTCAGTATGTTACAACTACATACAACATGTAGGCTAAGTGCTCACTGGATCCTCATCTGATCTTATTTAACAGTGACAAACAGAGAGAACTTCAGTATGTGAATCAATATCAGCCTCATAAAGAGGTCCAACATCTCAGAGTTCTGCTGCATGGACCACCAGGTGCTGGCAAGTCCAGCTTCATCAACTCTGTTGACGCTGCGTTACGAGGGAGGATGTCAACTCGAGCTCTGGCACAAACAAACTCCTCTGAGAGCTTCACCACAAAAGTATGAATCAATTGTGGTTGTGTTTATCAATAAAGAAGGATTTATGTTAATTTGTGTTTTTTTAAACATCATTCATACGCTGTTGAAGGAACTTTCAAGGACAACAGGACTGCATTGTAATGGTTGTTAGAGACTGAACAAATAGTTATGATACAGCTAGTGAGTAAAAAGCAAATGATAAACTGTTTAGGCTGTTATTTTGTTGGAATATTGTCATAAGAATGTTTTTATTTACAGTACAGGACTTTTAAAATCCAAAGAGACAATCCAGGGAGCTTTTACCCGTTTGTCTTCAGTGACACTATGGGTCTTGAGAAAGGCTCTAAAAGTGGAGTTCATGTAGACGACATCAAACTGGTCATGAAGGGACACGTAAGACAAGGTTACAAGGTACGAGAACTGCATTCTTTAACCTGCGTCACACAGTATTAAGTAAATACAGTGTGCACAGTGTGTACTGATTTGTGATCCGTTTCAATAACTAATGTTTGTTGTCATAGAAAAACATTTTAGAAATTGTTAACATGCACTTTTCTTTCCAGTTCGATCCCAGGTCCACCTTGTCTGAGAGTGATGAAAAATACAACGAATCCCCGACTCTTGGTGACCAAGTTCATGTTCTGGTTTGTGTTATTTCTGCCAAAATACTGGGCCTAATGGATGACAACACTGTGCAGAAGATAAGGGAGGTCAGACAAGCAGCCAGTGACATAGGTGAAAGCAGATACAACTGTTTCGATAGGAGTTGTAGTTTCAAATACCAGAAAAATATTAAAATAACCCACTGTGTTGGTTTCTACTCTGTGATGGCAGGGATTCCCCAAATTGCTGTTCTCACTCAAATTGATGAAGCCTGCCCTGAGGTCAAAAAGGATGTGAAGAATGTCTACAAGAGCAAGTACCTGAAGCAACAAGTATGTTTAAGCTGATATTTAATGAGCTTGTGGAGAGTGTGCACATAAATGCAACATCAGTTTGACTATAATTCAGATGTACAGGGCTTAACAAATGTATCAGACCACCACCCAGTGTCAGGTTTATGCCACAGCTGCCCTACATTAACAGCGTTAGTAATTACCAAAATCATTGTTTATGTTTCTGTAATGGTTAATACACTAATATGTAAAAGCTCTTTCACCCAAATGATATTTTTAATGCTAAAATATAATTATTATTGTTATCCATGAATTTTCAAATGTACTGTTAAAAAAAAATTATAATTATAGTTATTTGCTGCATTCCTGAACAGAAAAATTTGTTTTCGTGGTTGAATGTTTTTTTTGTTTGTTTGTTTGTTTGTTTTCCTTTTTGGCTTTTGCCTTGAGAGCAGTGGAGAGAGACAGAAAAAGGCAGGAGAAGAATAGATAAAGACCTGCAGCAAATGGCTGTAGTTGGTAGTCAATCCCACAACTGCTGCATCAGGGACTATAGCCCCTGTTCGTGGGTCTCTGTCTTATCCAGTGGAGCTACCGGGGTGCCCTTTTTCGTGGTTCAACGTTATGGTTGATTAATTTCTGACTTCTCAGAGAAGCTCTTGGGTATAAAAAGGTGAATTCAGTTTGAAATTCCTCATTCCTGTTCAAAATAGTAAAACATCGAGAGCTCACTAAAAATGAAAGAGTCCACATCAAAGCACTTCATGATGCTGGATGGTCTCTGAGACTAATAGGGAAAGACATAAAGTGTTCTCACAGTGTGGTCAAGTATGCTGTTGAGACTGATACTTACAAAAGGCATCAAGGAAGAGGCAGGAAACGAAAGTTAACTGAAGCAGATGTCAGACACCTCAAGATTTTAAGTGCTAGAGACAGAAGGAAGACCACTGCTGATCTACAGCCAGAGATGAATGCTTCTAGATCAGAGTCTGAGAACGTCTCCAGAATGACCATAAGCAGACGACTGATGGAACAAGGCTTAAAGGGAAGAATAGCTGCGACGAAGCCATTATTGAGGCCCGTAAACATCCAGACATGCCCCAGATTTTCCAGCGAGCACAAACACTGGAATGTAGATGACTGGAAGAAGGTACTCTGGACGGACAAGTCCAAATTTGACCTTTTCAGTCAGCATCGTGGTGTTTCTGTCAACAAAACAGCTGGAAAATGTTTTGATGGCAAATGCATTACACCCACAGTGAAACAGGGTGGAGATTCCATTATGGTATGGGGTTCCATTTGGGGAAAGGGCGCCGTCAAATTAGTGAAATTGGACAGTATCATGAACAAGAACATCTACCACAACATCTCACTGCATCATGGAATCCCTTCTGGACTAAATCTGATTGGTCATGGGTTCATATACCAACAAGACAATGACCCCAAGCAGACTTCAAAGCTGTGCAGAGACTATCTGACCAAGAAAAAGGAATCTGGAGTTCTGGAGCTGATCTACTGGCCAAGTCAAAGTCTGGATTTGAATCCTATTGAACAAATTTGGGATGTAGGACATTCAAAGATTGATTGACAAAAATTGATCAGAAGCAACT